GGAGTTTGTTCCAGATATAAGGAGCATAAAAGCTGAATGCAGCTTCTCCGTGTCTGGTTCTGACTCTGGGAACTGATAAAAGACCGGATCCAGATGACCTGAGGGATCTGGATGGTTCATACTGGGTCAGGAGGTCATTGATGTATTTTGGTCCTAAACCATTCAGAGCTTTATAGGCCAGCATCAGAACTTTAAAGTCTATCCTCTGACGGACAGGCAGCCAGTGTAAGGACCTCAGAGCTGGACTGATGTGGTCCACTTTTTTGGTCTTAGTGAGGACTCGAGCAGCAGAGTTCTGAATGAGCTGTAGTTGTCTGACTGATTTTTTAGGTAGACCTGTAAAGATGCTGTTACAGTAATCAAGCCTACTAAAGATGAATGCATGGACTAGTTTTTCCAGGTCCTGTTGAGACATCAGATCTTTTATCCTTGATATATTCTTGAGGTGATAGTAAGCTGACTTTGTTATTGTCTTAATGTGTTTTTCTAAGTTTAGGTCTGCATCCATCACTACACCCAAATTTCTCGCCTGGTTTGTGGTTTTTAGATGTATAGATTGAAGTTCTCTGGTGACCTGTAATCATTTTTCTTTGGCGCCAAAGACTATTACCTCAGTTTTGTTTTTGTTTAGCTGGAGAAAATTGTGGCACAACCAGTCATTGATTTCCTCAATGCATTTACCAAGAGCCTGTACAGGGCCTCGGTCTCCTGGTGACAGAAATGTAGCTGGGTAATTATGTCATTGGCATCGGTGAGCCACTGTCAATATGTGACATATTGAAGTCGCGTTTGAATTTGCGCTTGTTTTTTTGCTTTCACTTTGCAATCGTGCGAACTGTGTTTATAGAGAGCGACAGCACTGATCTGTGAGTGATGATAATTTGTGCACCAATTCCTCTGACATCGTCTTATTAATCGTTAGCTTACTATGCAAACATGACAAGTGAAATCTCCCGCAGCAAGCTTAAACATGTGAGAGGTTGATCGCGCAGAGAATCGCTGAGCTTATGTGAGTCCGTGTGTAAAAGCATTTCAGTTCTGCTGAGCCAAATAAGACAGGTCAGGGTGAAGAAGTGACAGCCAAAGAAAAGCTTACCACAAAACGGAGAAGTTATGACAAATCAGACTATAAGGCAAAAAGAAAGTGCAGCTTTATGGTTTCATGGACAAAAGAATTTCTGTGGCTGCAATATGATGAGCTAAATAACCAGGGCTGCACATAAGTGGTCCGCAGGTGCGCATTCGCTGTCAAAATAAAAAACACGCACAAGGGTTAGGGTTAAATTTAAAAACTGTACTTTTGAGTTAAAATATATATTTATAATTTTAATAAATGACAAATTAAAAATGCATGAACATTTTTTTGTATCGAAAAAATATCGAACCGTGACACCAAAGTATCGAACCGAACCGTGAATTTTGTGTATCGTTGCACCCCTAATATACACATAAAAAAAACAAAAAAAAAAACCCACCCAGCACGCCCCTGTGGGCAGTTTATCCTTCAAGCTCGGGTCCTCTACCAGAGGCCTGGGAGCTTGAGGGTCCTGCGCAGTATCTTAGCTGTTCCCAGGACTGCGCTCTTCTGGACAGAGATCGCCGATGTTGTTCCCGGGATCTGCTGGAGCCACTCGCCTAGCTTGGGAGTCACCGCACCTAGTGCTCCGATTACCACGGGGACCACCGTTACCTTCACCCTCCACATCCTCTCGAGCTCTTCTCTGAGCCCTTGGTATTTCTCCAGCTTCTCGTGTTCCTTCTTCGTGATGTTGCTGTCATTCGGAACCGCTACATCGATCACTACGGCCGTCTTCTTCTGTTTGTCTACCACCACTATGTCCGGTTGGTTAGCCACCACCATTTTGTTCGTCTGTATCTGGAATTCCCACAGGATCTTAGCTCGGTCATTCTCCACCACCCTTGGGGGCGTCTCCCATTTTGACCTCGGGACTTCCAGGTTATACTCGGCACAGATGTTCCTGTACACTATGCCGGCCACTTGGTTATGGCGTTCCATGTATGCCTTGCCTGCTAGCATCTTGCACCCTGCTGTTATGTGCTGGATTGTCTCTGGGGCATCTTTACACAGCCTGCACCTGGGGTCTTGCCTGGTGTGATAGACCCCAGCCTCTATGGATCTTGTGCTCAGAGCTTGTTCTTGTGCTGCCATGATTAGTGCCTCTGTGCTGTCTTTCAGTCCAGCTTTGTCCAGCCACTGGTAGGATTTCTGGATATCAGCCACCTCCTCTATCTGCCGGTGGTACATACCGTGCAGGGGCCTGTCCTTCCATGATGGTTCCTCATCTCCCTCCTCTTTCTTGGGTCTTTCTTGATCCTATTTTTCAGGTCAGTTCCTCTCGCACTCCACGATCCTTCTCCTATCGCACTTGGGGCTATGTACCCAATCTCGGGTGGGGGTGATGATATCTCCCCCCTGACCTGGCGTCCTGACTCCTCCTTGCCGTAGCATTTGTGTTGTACCTCGTAAATCTCTAGCTGTGAGAGCAGTCCCTTCTTTCGAATGTTGGAACACTGAGCTACTAGTTGTTTCGCCGTCATTGTGGATGTTGGGTATCGAAGAATCCATAGGCACCAGACATATGCACGAGCAGTAGCAGAAGAGAGAGGGGAGCCGCCTGAGCAAGAGTTGCGCTGCCTGGAAGAACAGGTAATGGCCTTTTTCAATAGTAAAGGCATTGAAATGGATAGTAAGGACATTGAGGGGTGCCATACTCTTCCAAGGAAAAACAAGAATCAAAAACCTGCCATTATTATAAGATTTGTTAATAGGAAGCAGAAAAAGGAGCTACTGAAGCAAGGAAGGAAGTTGAAAGGAACGAATGTGTATGTTAATGAACACCTAATCAAGAAAAACACAGATATTGCAAGACAAGCAAGATTATTAAGGAAACAGAAGAAAATACAGTCAAGCTGGACAACAGATTGTAAGGTGTTCATTAAGTTAAACGGAATACCGGAGCAGGCAAAGTTCTTAGTCATTAAAGAGCTGACAGAATTAGAAAAATACGGCTAAAATGTAAGGAAAAGCATTGGATGGTCGATGGTACTTTCAATGAATTGTCAAATTGGTGGTTCTTGACTGAGACAAAGTACTGGCTAATGGCTGCTTGGTGGGGCCTGCCCCCTGGCTCTGTCAGGCCCCTGCTTGGGGGTGAGGAGGTCTTTGGGTCTTGGATCTCTGGGCCTGTGGCGCGCTTGGTTTTGTTGTGTGTGTGTGTTTGATTGTTTTTGTTTTGTTTGTTTTTCTTAGGGCAGGTTTGGAGCAGATCCTCAGTGTTTTTCTCTCCCTCTCCTTCTGTAAACTTCCTCACCAATTTCTTTCTTTCTTTTTCTTTTCTGTTTTGATTCTAATATCTCAAAATACAAACTCCTAATAAACTTCTAATAAAATATGACCATTATAGCAAAAGCAGTAATGAAACTTTCTGCCATGGTTGCACTGGTGCAACTACCAACTTTTTTTCTTAGGCGCACACAAATTTTTAACACCTCAGTTTTATATGTGCACTTTTTTTTTAAAATTGCTGTCCATACAGTCTTTCCACACACACCACAGTAAATTCAGTGCATCATGTTGTCAGCTTTACTGTGTCTTAACCAGGGAAACTGGTCAAACCACTCTCTTCCAAATGTAAACACTTTCCCCCCATTTACTCTCAGTGGGCTCTGAGTTGATTGTATGTGGCTCATTATCTGATGCCGTTTGATCCCCTATTCAATTTGATTCAATTTTTCCTCAGACAGTCATAAATATTATAATTCTGATCATTTATCTGTACTGACACTTGTGAGACTTCATCAGAGGTGTAAACACCACAGCAGAGGCCTTTGTGTCAAAGTAACTGAGGATAAAACACAGAAAAACATGAAGGAGATTTTCCTGGCCTGACAACCTTAAAAATATTCTGCAGTAGAACAAAAACTGAAGAAAACCATGAATCAACATATGAACATTACTCTGCTTTTCTTCAGCAGCATCAGGTAAAGAGGTTTTATTAGAGACAGCCAAGTGTTTTGCAGTTTGGCATCATTTTAAAAATTTAAATTTCTCCTGTATTAAACAGCAGAAAAGAGGCTTCCTTGTCGGAGGTCATTTAAAAAAAAACCAACAGCGGTCGACAGAGCTGTAAGCAACGGTAGACTGGTGCGTAAAAATCTAATAAATAATGCAGAAAGAATTTTGGCTTCTGAGAGTTGCAGCTGTGTATGATGTGATCATCAGGCACAAACTAAGATATACAAACAAAATCATTTGTGCCTCAATCCAGACACAAATAAAAAATAACATGAAGTATTTTACAAATGTTTGAATCCAAACTTGATTAAAGATCATTTAAAGACACATTTTTGCCTCCACAAATTTTCCTGTGTCTGAAAATATTTGTTAGTTTCAGTCCCTGACAGAAAATTAAATATACCTGACACACACCTATTTACATGTAGTTTTACTTCCAGTGAGTCACATTCAGTGTGAGCAGCCAAACATGATGGCAGACTGCCACAGATCACTTCTGAGGAAAGAGGAGGCGTTCAGCTTCCTCATAGTTTTACACCTGCATGAAGCAGCCTCACCCTGACAGCTTCAAATCACTGTGTCAGCTGATCACTTCCTGTCCTGTGATTGGCTGAGCTTCAGGCCTTCTCTCAGTAAACTGGAAACAGGGATTGAGACAGTGTGAGGGTTTGTGGAGTGCCACAGTGCTGTAATGAATACTGTAGTGGAAGAAGTTCTTTCACACTCTTCATCCTGGAGCTGCTTTATGTCCATGATCTGCATGGAAACACATCTATGGAGAGGAAATCCAGCTGCTGAGGGTCACATCTGCATCGTTGTAGCTACAGTGGATGTTTCATGGTCAGGACTGGAGGCGGAGCTTTGTGCGTGTCAGGGTGAGGCCGCAGCAGCCGCCTCCAACCGGAGCGCTCGGGCGTGAAACTACGAGGAAAGCCGACGTCCTCCTCTTTCCTCAGAAGTGATCTGTGGCCGGTCGGACTTCATTCCACAGATGTGCTTTAACAAAGTGTGAAGCTGAACTCTGAGCTGTGACAGTGAAGCAGTGTGAGAGTGTCAGTAGATGATCAGCAGAGGAAAGTGAAGCTGCTGTGAGCTGATGTCCTGAAGGGCTTTTAAAGAGTCTCTGAGTTTGACAGGAACATGAAGATGTTTGTGGTGTTTGTGATCCTCCTGCACGGTAAGTACACCTTCCTCTCTCTGCTCTCATCATCAGCTTTTCTTTCATCTCTCTCTCTTTAATGTGTTTCCAGTTTAGGTTTTCTGTTTGGTTTTCCTTTGGTCAGCATTAAACCTGTTTTCAAGTTCACGTTCTGCCTCCGTGAGTTTGGGTCCAATCCCTGCCTGCCACACAGCGCACCATGACAGTTATATGTGTTGCACTAGTTTAAAAGTTTTATGTTATGGATAAATTGATTAAAACAAACAGCAATTGTCACTGAACTGAATTTTATTTACAAGTATTTTTAACATGTAGGAACATAACACTAACTTTTAACAATTTTGAATTGATATGTATTTAACAACAATAAAGTAAATAACAATAACAATAAAACAAGAATACTTATAATACAGCAACAAATATCAGGCCTTGGATCCTCCTGGTTAAACAAACGGTCCAGGACTGGGACACTCAGGTTAATCCTGCAGGGTTTGGTCTGGTTAACTTCTGCTGTTTTTGTGTGTGACCCCGCCCACACCTGCAGTTATACTGTATGATGATATAAGTTTCTACGCACTGAATGTGTTATGTCAGTAGAACAAGAAGAGAATCAATAAAAACACAAAAGCCTCTGAGCTTTGGATCACAAATACACAGCAACAATAATCAGATGTGTCATATTATTGTGAACAAGAGCAGCTTAATCAGAATCAGAATACTTTATTGATCCCTAGGGGAAATTATTTTTGATTACAGTGCTCCAGTATAAACAAACAGTAACAAAGACAGACAAAACACTAAGTAAGAATAGCACAATATATACAGGCATATACAGTGGGGCAAAAAAGTATTTAGTCAGCCGCCGATTGTGCAAGTTCCCCCACTTAAAATGATGACAGAGGTCAGTAATTTTTGTTATTGACCAAATACTTATTTTCCACCCTGATTTACGAATAAATTCTTTACAAATCCTACCATGTGGATTCATGGATTTCTTTTTCACATTCTGTCTCTCACAGTTGAAGTGTACCTCTGGTGCAAATTACTGACCTCTGTCATCATTTTAGGTGGGGGAACTTGCACAATTGGTGGCTGACTAAATACTTTTTTGCCCCAGTGTATATACACAAAATCCACTTATTAATAAATAGCTGAAAAAGGAAGAACATGTGCAAAAAGGGTGTAGCTGTTGCAGTAAACAGTGTGTTAAGTGGATGCGTTGTACAGGGAGCCACAGGCAGGAAAGATTTCCTGTGTCGTTCAGTGGTGCTTTTCGGTAATCTGTCTCCCACTGAACGTGCTCCTGTGACTGACCAGCATGTTATGGAGTGGGTGGGAGGTGTTATCCAACATTGTCTTTATCTTGGACAACATCCGCCTCTCCAACACCACCTTAAGAGACATGTTTTGGCTGTACTGCATGAAAAATGTTGAGTGGTCAGTGGGGTGGAGTTAGTTTATGGGGCTGCAGAGTGAGTTGTTCAGGAAGACTCTTCCTGAGATTAACCCTCTCAAGGCAGGCGTTGCAGATTTACAACAGTTAAAAACTAACAACCTGATTACCCCACATACATATTTTATGAGTTTTTTTTACTCAGAAGTACCACTGGAGGACTTGGTTGTGCAATAGCAACTAAAACTTAATTTGAGCCTGAGAGGGTTAACTATAACCTCAATAAACCGTAGGTAGAGCAAAGTGCCTGTTGCTTGAGAGTCTATGCCAGGGGTGGGGCACGTCCACCCCCCGGATAGGAATACGGCCCATGAGACTATTTCAGTCGGACTGCAAATTTATGTTTATATACGCACTTATAGCATGTAGGGATGTAAGAAAATATCAATACATCGAAATATCGTGATATTTCATGTAATGATACTGAATGGATATTCAAAATCTGTGTTATTGATTTTTTTTTCATTTGAAAAATTACATGCATTTACTGTGTATTTCTTTTGTATGTTGCAATTCAAACTCTGGCCACTTGTTTGCAGTTTTTACCGCCTTTACGTTGACGGAAAAACAAGGTCTCTCGATAACTGTAGAAGCGTCTAGTTTGCCAAAACCAACGAAGTAAAACAGTGGATGTGTGGCCAGTTGTGCTAGCTAACTGATGACTGAAGAGGAGAGGATACAGCCGGCCCCAACAGCTTTTAAAGCTGATATGTGGACTTATTTTGGATTTAGGACAAAAGAAGGCAGTAAAGACTATGACAAGAGCAACGCACCCATAAAATCTGCACCACCAGAGTCAAATATTCAGGTAATACAACAAATTTACGAACACACGTGTCTAGACACCATAACGACAAAGTTATGGTGTTGAAGAAGTTAACTTTTTGAAACTACCAGCAACTTCAACTCGTACAACAAAAATAATGCAGTCAGTACTTGTTTTTATTTGCAAAGACATGTGCCCTCTGAGTGTTGTGGAGAATAAAAGATTTCGTAATATGATTAAACCGCTGGAGCCCCGTTACACCGTTCCTTCCTGACAACACATCACGGACATCGCTTTGCCAAAGTTGTACCAAGAAGTCAAAGTGACAGTGCTGGACAGCTTGTCGGAGACAGTTGCATTGACATGCGATGCTTAGAGTTCGAGAGCCACTGAATTGTACGTAACTGTTACAGCACGTCACATAACGGACCAATGGAAACTTCAGTCTCATGTACTACAAACACGGGCCATGCATGACAGTAACACAGGTGAAAACATTGCAGCGTTACTAACTGACGCTGTGATTGAATGGGGATTGAACGCAAAGGACCTTGTTGTTGGTACCGATAATGCACCAAACATGGCTGTCGCTGCTAGACTTGCAGGCATGATGCACATACAATGTTTTGCACACAGTTTGAATCTCGCCTCACAGAAAGCACTGAAAATACAATCCATGGTGCGGCTTCTCGGGAGGATCTGACGTGTAACAGCCTTTTTCAGGCGCAGCACCACAGCCAGCAATCAGTTGAAGCAGAAACAGTGCCTCCTTCAGCTACCAGATCACAGATTGATCATGGACATAATTACAAGATTGAACAGCTCCTATGATATGATAGAATGATTTTTAGAACAGCAACCAGCCATCTGTGCTGCTCTGCTTTCTGCAGAAGTCAGGAAGAGTGAAAAAGTAATTTTCACATTAAGTGAGTCTGACATCACATGTGCAGAAGAAGTTGTCAGGGCACTCAAGCCTATGAAGGACGCCACTCTGGTGATGTCAGAGGAGAGCATGCCAACCCTGTCCATCATTGCTCCTCTTCATGCCAAGCTTGGGTGCACAAGAAAGTGTTGATGATACACCGACAGTAAGGGAAATTAAGACTGCCATAGCAGAAGATCTGTGAAAGAGATATGTAACTGAGAGGGAGACACTATGCATAAGATAAGATAAGATAACCTTAATTAGTCCCACGTGTGGGAAATTTGGGTCTTCAGGTCTTCAGGAGTGGGCCCTTCACTCCAAAAGAGTCTCCACAGCAGGTGCAGTCTGCTCTGCCCTTTCCTGTAGAGGGCGTCTGAGTTATGAGTCCAGTCCAGTTTATTGTTTAGATGAACACCAAGGTACCTGTAGCTGTCCACAGCCTCAATGTCCATACCTTGGATGTTCGGTGGTTGCAGTGGAGGATGTTTGTGCCTGCGGAAGTCTACCACCAGCTCCTTGGATTTACTGGCATTGATCTGGAGGTGGTTCTGCTGGCACCAGTCCACAAAGCGTTGTGTCAGTTCTCTGTACTCCTTGTCATCCCCATCAGTGATGAGGCCGACTATTGCAGAGTCGTCAGAGAACTTCTGCAGGAAGCACCGGGTGGAGTTGTGGGAGAAGTCTGTAGTGTAGATGGTGAAGTGGAACGGTGCCAGAACCGTTCCCTGTGGGGCCCCCATACTGCAGACGACCCTGTCCGACACACAGCCCTGAGTTCTCACATACTGTGGTCGGTCGGTGAGGGTAGTCCAAAATCCAGGTAGTGAGGTGATGGTCCACTCCTGAGTTCTCCAGCTTGTCCTTCAGGGCAGTGGGAAGAATGGTGTTGAAGGCACTGGAGAAATCAAAGAACATGATTCTCACAGTGGTGAGCACTGGTACAACACAGGAGGTTTTCCAGAGCTGTGGGACTCTCCCCAGCCTCAGGCTCAGGTTGAAGAGGTGCTCCATCACCCTACACAGTTGGTCTGCGCAGGACCTGACGACCCTTGAGCTGATGCCATCTGGACCTGCAACTTTCCTGGCTTTAATCCTCCTCAGTTCCCTCCTACCCTGGGTGGTTGAGAGAGACAGGCTGGAGCCTTGTGTTGAGTGTGTATTGGATGCTGTTGTTGGGGGTGGGGAGGAGTGAGCAGGGTGAGTAGAGGAGGTGTGAAGTGTCTGAGGTGTCAGACCCTACTGTGCAGCAGTAGGGGTGGGTGAGTTTGCAGCTGATGTTGAAGACTGCCTCATGGCTGAATCAAACCTATTAAAGAAATGATTCAGTTCATTTGCACACCTCACATCCCTCCCAGGCAGAGAGTTCTTTGTGGCCCAAGATGGTTCTAAGGCCTCTCCAGACTTCGCAAACGTTGTTTTGTTGAAGCTGGTTCTCCATCTTTTGCCTGTAGCTATCCTTCCCATTCCTTATCAGTCCCCTCAACTCTCTCTGCACCCTTTTCAGCTCCTTCTTGTCTCTAGATTTGAAGGCCCTCCTCTTCTGCTTGAGGACAGCTTTAATTTCTGGGGTAATCCAAGGTTTGTTGTTGGAGAAACACCACACAGTCCTGGAGGGTGGGGTGTTATCCACACAAAAGTTAATATAGTGCGTATTGCATGTCACCAGGCTGTCGATGTCCTCTCCGTGGTCATCACAGATCACCTCCCACACAGTAGACTCAAAACAGTGGCATCAACTGTTGATCCTCGGTTTAAGGACCTGCCCTTCTTGTCTGAAGCAGAGACCAGTGAGGCCTGTTCCAGACTGCTGGAAACTGTGGTGGCTGTGATAAAGAAGAAAAAAATGTAAGTAAATAAATGAATGAATGAATTTC